GACGCGGACTCGCTGGTAAAATGTTCTTATGCATATACTGTGATACAGGTTGTCTCCCCGTGTGTGGTAACAGTACGTCACAAGCATTTCTGCTGCACTCTTGTTCACTAGAACAGTCATTCCTGTCCGTTCCCTAAAGTAGACGGTCATCCCTGTCCGTTCCCTAAAGTAGACAGTCGTCCCTGTCCGTTCCCTAAAGTAGACAGTCATCCCTGTCCGTTCCCTAAAGTAGACAGTCATCCCTGTCCGTTCCCTAGAGTAGACAGTCATCCCTGTCCGTTCCCTAGAGTAGACAGTCATCCCTGTCCGTTCCCTAAAGTAGACAGTCATCCCTGTCCGTTCCCTAAAGTAGACTGTCATCCCTGTCCGTTCTATAGCGTAGACAGTCATCCCTGCCAGTCCCTTAGCGTAGGCAGTCATCCCTGCCAGTCCCCTAGCGTAGACAGTCATCCCTGCCAGTTTATTAGCGTAGACAGTCATCCCTGCCAGTTCATTAGCATAGACAGTCATCCCTGCCAGTTCATTAGCGTAGACAGTCATCCCTGCCACTCCCCTAGCGTAGACAGTCACCCCTGTCCGCTCCCTAGAGTAGACAGTCATCCCTGCCAGTCCCTTAGCGTAGGCAGTAATCCCTGCCAGTCCCCTAGCGTAGACAGTCATCCCTGCCAGTCCCCTAGCGTAGACAGTCACCCCTGTCCGCTCCCTAGCGTAGACAGTCATCCCTGCCAGTCCCTTAGCGTAGGCAGTCATCCATGCCAGTCCCTTAGCGTAGGCAGTCATCCCTGTCCGCTCCCTAGCGTAGACAGTCACCCCTGTCCGCTCCCTAGCGTAGACAGTCATCCCTGCCAGTCCCTTAGCGTAGACAGTCATCCCTGCCAGTCCCTTAGCGTAGACAGTCATCCCTGCCAGTCCCCTAGCGTAGACAGTCATCCCTGTCAACTCACACCCGTTCCCTGGAACATGCAACAATCCCTGTAAATTCATTTCCCTACCATGGAATAGACAAAAGTCCCTGTCCACACACGACAGTTCCCAGGAACAGAGAAATCCTTGTCCGTGTGACGGCTGTAGAAAGCCACTCAGTCACTTGTATGGTATTCAGAATACAGTCTATTGATAATCTCTGTCCCAAATACAACATATCAAAGCAAAACGTTTGGCCAAGAGAAACACCGGTGCAAGCCAAACTTTGCGGGTCGCTGATTGAATTACAACAGGCAGTAAAGTTCATACTAGAGACAACATTGTAGGTATAGATATTTTTTTTTTTAAGCGAACGAAAGAAGAAGGTCATAATCTCTACCTGCAACAGTATCCCTCCACTAATGCGAGTTTGCCCTATGTTAATTAGGAAACTAACATATAGCAATACATCAAGCTACCGTGGACTAAATATTCCTGGCCTGGGACACACAAGCTTATCTTGTTAAGAATCTAACTCTTCGAAGAGAACCTGGTTCATAACCAGTATTGTGTCCCAGAACTCCCAGGCTACAGCCGGCGCCATCACTGTAAGAACTCTTCCTTGGCTACAGTTAAGGGGACAGCACCTACTGGAATGCCCCGCGTCCAGCGATGTAAGTTCTTGATTGATTGAACCGACGATCATTTATTGTGTCTCAGAAACTGAAACCTTTGACAGTATCAGAGGGTAGTCATTTTGAGTCATGGTTTTAGTTAGAAAAGTCAGTAGTCAACGTGGACTTCTAGTAATTTCGCAGGTAAAAAATCCCTTGACAGTTGGACATTGAAAAGAGTAGCCCAACTGCGCTGCTCGGGTACAATTTGGAGTTTAAAATCTAGCCAAAGTATTTCAGGAACCTCGCCGGTGCAACAGAGTTCGTGCACTGAGCTGAGAATCTTAAAACTCAGGCTTAAGTAAGAAGAAGAACGGAGCACTTATGTGTTACACCCGTGTACCATGATGTTGATCCATTGAGTAATTTTCTAGTACTCATTTTAAACCGGTTCCTCATACGAACCCATGTCATTGGAAAGAGTGGGAAAAAAGTGGAAAACGGGGCGGGGAGAATGTCACCTCGAGGCAGTTCTAACAGGGTGGGAGGCAAGCCCACTGCTGCCCACTGAACCAGCACGGTTCTACACCACCGGAAATACAAGCTGCAGCGTCGCACTGGAAAGTCAGTAGTGGTCCTGCCAACTGTCTCTATTCATGACATTTTTGCAAAGGATCTGGCTCTAGTTGGATTGACACCCGAATCTAGGCTCATCGGGTCACGGTGGTGTCACACCGTCAGGTAGCCGACCCGGAACCACACACAGAATGGATCCAGTGTGTTGCCAAGCTTTTGGTTGATAACTTATCAAGAGTTGACGAGGATCCCACACCCCAGCGCCGGCGGCCCCCCAGCGATTGCAGAGACCACACAGGGAGCCAGGCATCTAAGTGTCTGTGAAGCTTTCGTCTTGTCTACCGTGTGTGTGGCATCCTACACAAGCTAGCTGTTTCCTTGACGTTGTTGTGTGCTTCTCGATTGTTGACTAAGTTAGAAAACACCCCCACGCCGGCTCTGTGTTATGTTCATTGTCTGCCTGCCGCCAGAGTTGACGCTCAACAATTCTGCTTCTCAAATCTAAAGAGCTCTCGCCACAACCACAGCCTTTGCTAGAGAAACTCGCTTGTGTTGTCTTCATTTCGTTTTGGAGGTGTTTTTTTCCCCTGTCCGTTTATTTTTCTCTCTCTCTCTCTCTCTCTCTCTCTCTCTATCTTCGCTCTCTCTCTCGCTCTCTCTCTCTCTCTCTCTCTCTCTCTCTCTCTCTCTCTCTCTCTCTCTCTCTCTCTCTCTCAAATATCTACCATTTATGACATTTTTCTTTCTCTCTTTTGTCTTTACTTTTTTAATTATACATCTGTGTCTTTCTACATTTGTTTGTCCCACTTTCTTATGCCTACTTCTTATACCTTCTTTCTGCTGCAAGTCTTCTTTCTTTCTTTCTTTCTTTCTTTGGGGCTGCGTGGTCTCGAGGCATGGCGTCCGCCCATGTGATGAAGGTCCCGGGTTTAAGCCCCAGGAAAGCTGGAATTTTTTTTTCGCGTAAATTTCTGGTAATTTCCCCTGGTCTCTGGGTAGTCAGATGGGACCCCCTTGTGTATTGTTGTGCTATTAAAAATTCCTCGAACTCAGGCTTTAGTCAGAAGAAAAACAGAGCACTTATGGGTTACTCTACTACCCTTGTGCCATGATGTTGATCGGTCGTCTAAACCTTTCTTTCTTTCTTCATTTCTCTCTTTCTGCCTGCGTGTATGTTCGATTGTATCTGTTTTGATGTCTACCGTTTTCTGTTTTTTTTTTTTTTGTCTCACGGGTTCTACGCCAAGCAGCCCTGGTCTTTCTCCTTATCTCCGTGACGAAGTGGTCAAGCCGTTTGCCTCGCGACCCGAAGGTCGTGGGTTCGTTTCAGGGACGCATCGTTCAGTTCACGAGTGAAGTTTTTACTGAGATTACGAGGGATCGTCGCCCAGGCTAGATAGTTCGTGCTTTATGCGAACTGTCGGCAGGAGGCTAGTCGTTCTGTAAAGGGTGACTGAAACATCAGATACACCTGGTGCAGTGAAATCGAACGTCTCGACGTTAACTTTTATTTATAATTATTTATAACCATTTTTGTCTAGTGTAAGGAAGTCTTTTAAATGAAACCTAAATCCACCTATATCTATTGTCATTCATGCGTATTGTCATCCACACCTATTGTCATCCACACCTATTGTCATCCACACCTATTGTCATCCACACCTATTGTCATCTACACCTATTGCCATCCACATCTAATGTTATCCACACTCATTGTTATGCAAACCTTATGTCAGCTTCACCCATTGTCATCCACATCCATTGTCATCCACACACATTGTCATCCATACCCATTGTCATCCACACCCATTATCATCCACAACCATTATTATCCACACCCATTGTCATCTACACCCATTGTCATCCACACCCATTGTCATCCACACCCATTATCATCCACACCCATTGTCATCCACACCCATTGTAATCCACACCCTTTGTCATCCACGCCTGTTGTCATCCACAGCCGTTGTCATCCAAACACATTATCATTCACACCTGTTATTATCCACACCCATTGTCATCCACACCCATTGTCACCCACACCCATTATCATCCACACCCATTATCATCCACACCCATTATCATCCACACCCCTCATCATCCCCTGGTCATCATCCCCTGGTCATCATCCACACCCATCATCATCCACACCCATTATCATCCACACCCACTGTCATCCACACCCACTGTCATCCACACCCATCATCATCCACACCCATCATCATTCACACCCATCATCATACACACCCACTGTTATCCACACCCATTGTCATCCACACCCATTGTCATCCACACCCATTGTCATCCACACCTATTTTCACCCACACCCACTGTCATCCACACCCATTGTCATCCACACTCACTGTCATCCACACTCATTGTCATCCACACCCACTGTCATCCACATCCAGTGTCACCCACACCCATTATCATCCACACCCATTGTCATCCACACCCACTGTCATCCACACCCATTATCATCCACACCCACTGTCATCCACAGCCACTTTCATCCACACCCACTGTCACCCACACCCATTATCATCCACACCCATTATCATCCACACCCACTGTCATCCACACCCACTGTCATCCACACCCATTATCATCCACACCAAATGCCATCCACACCCACTGTCACCCACATCCACTGTCACCCACACCCATTATCACCCACACCTATTGCCATCCACACCCACTGTCATCCACACCCACTGTCATCCATACCCACTGTCATCCACACCTATTTTCACCCACACCCATTTTCACCCACACCCACTGTCATCCACACCCACTGTCATCCACACCCACTGTCACCCACACCCACTGTCATCCACACCCACTGTCATCCACACCCACTGTCATCCACACCCACTGTTACCCACACCTACTGTCATCCAACAGGAGCTGACAGGCGAGGTGCTGAAGAAGACAGGTGTGACGGTGGTCCTGACTTCCGTCAGTAACATGCTGGCCTTCTTCACAGCCGCCATTATTCCAGTGCCAGCTCTGAGGGCCTTCTCCCTGCAGGTGGGTCTAGTCTTGTGTTTGTCAGTGTTCTCTGTTGATCCATTTCCCTCTTTGGTTTCCGAGATCCCATTGTAGTAAGGGGGGGGGGGGAAGAACAGACCGTCAAGCGTGTCATACAAGGCGACTAATTAGGAGTGTTTTCTTTGAAGTCAGAGAGCATCTGCTTCAGAGGCAAGGGGCCAACAGTCTGCATAGAAATAAGCCAGATTCATAAATTGATCTGCATGCAAAACTCAAGTTCTGCAACAAGACCTAAGTCCAGTAGTTGAGGAAGAAACAGAACTTTGCACTGGAGTCGGTGAACATGAAGAAGAAATCAGAATTGGTTCATTATATAGGAGAGGTAGTTTGTGAGTGGCTACTGTCATTCTTGGAGATTTACATCTATACTGGTGTTAAGGAGGAGTGGGGTTGGAGATGATGACGTAGAAGTGAAGAAAAAGAAAGGAAGTAGTGAGAAAGTGAGAGAAGAGTCAATAAAGACGATAATAAAGAAAGAGAACAGAAATTTGAATGTTAAGAAAGTAGGAGGTGGTGCAGATTAGAGCTACTCAAGTAATCACTTTTATTGACCATTTATTTTTTTTTTCTGCGTTTGCTATTAAAAGAGCAGTTTGCATGCTGTGTTGTTGTTTACAGGCACACTGCTTCTTTAACTCAACAGATCCAATTTCAGCACAACCCTAACTGGTCTTCTCTTATGACATGCTTGTTAGAGAGCTGGAGCTATTCTGTTGTCTTCAAAAATGAGGCAATGAGACCAACATTGGTGAACTATTGTCTTCTTTACAATGTTAAATCCACAGTCAGCTAAATTTTTAATTTGCATGCATGCACGCACACACACACACACACACACACACACACACACACACACACACACTCTCACAATGGGGACCTAGAACCCACAGTGGAGACCTGGAACCCACACGGAAACATGAAGTAGCATTTAACAACATGGCAATCTGGCACATATAATTTGGTCTGTGTTGTGTGTTACAGGCAGGGATCCTGGTCTTGTTCAACCTGGGCTCTGTGCTTCTGGTATACCCAGCCATCATTAGTCTGGATCTGGTGAGGAGAGAGGACAAACGGATCGATGTTCTATGTTGCTTTCAGAGGTAAGATTGGTTCAATTTACCAAAAGTAGTCAACAGTTGGTTTTTGGTTAAACTGTCGAAGTAATAAATAATGCTTTCGAGTGGTAAAATTTCTGAAATAATGAATAATTTTTATTTTGTATGTGTGTGCTAAAGTGTGGTGACACAAAAAAAAAAGAAATTTAATTTAACGATTACTATAAATTTCTCTTCAAAGAATTTTAAACAACTGAGTAAATTATTGAGTGGGACAGACAGAACTACAAAATAAGATTTCTAAAAGCATGAATCTTTCCCATTGCAACTAAACAAGGTGAACAGCACATAAATGCCTTTGAATACAAATTTTATAGACGTGTTCTAAAAATATCGTGGGTAAAGAAAAGAACAAATGCCCCCCGTGTGGGTTCCGGGGCCCTATTGTGGGAAAAACAAGAATAGACCCACTGCCTCCCCAAAAGCATGTCGTAAGAGTCGACTAACTGGGGAGCTTCCTTTGAAGTCGGAGTGCATCTGCCTGAGAGGCAAGGAACAGTCTGCACACCAGATCTGTGTACACGCTCTGGAGAACGCAAAGAAGAACCAGAAGAAGAGTGTAACAAAGAAGAAGAAGAAGAAACAAATGCATCCAATACATCAGGAACGTAAAATTGGCGAAGGTTAGCTATTAAAGACGATAAAACACAAAAAAATAAAAAATTTTGGTCACTTGAAACATCATGAAAGTTTGGAAAGAACAGTGATGAAGGGGTATAAGCATTGGAAGAGAGGAAGGCAAAAGAGAAGATGGGTGCAGGAGGTGGTGAATGATCTCCAGATGGGTGTATCGGACGCAAGACATCTTGCTTGTGATCGAGACATTTTCCTAATAGTTGTTAGGGGAACAAGTTTCTGAGAAGGACATGATACTGACTGTGTGCGACATGCTACTGACTGACTGTGTGCGACATGCTACTGACTGACTGACTGTGTGCGACATGCTACTGACTGACTGACTGACTGTGTGCGACATGCTACTGACTGTGTGCGACATGCTACTGACTGTGTGCGACATGCTACTGACTGTGTGCAACATGCTACTGACTGACTGACTGACTGTGTGCGACATGCTACTGACTGACTGACTGACTGTGTGCGACATGCTACTGACTGTGTGCAACATGCTACTGACTGTGTGCAACATGCTACTGACTGTGTGCAACACGCTACTGACTGTGTGCAACATGCTACTGACTGACTGACTGACTGTGTGCGACATGCTACTGACTGACTGACTGACTGTGTGCGACATGCTACTGACTGACTGACTGTGTGCGACATGCTACTGACTGACTGACTGTGTGCGACATGCTACTGACTGACTGACTGTGTGCGACATGCTACTGACTGACTGACTGACTGTGTGCGACATGCTACTGACTGTGTGCGACATGCTACTGACTGACTGACTGTGTGCGACATGCTACTGACTGACTGACTGTGTGCGACATGCTACTGACTGACTGACTGTGTGCGACATGCTACTGACTGACTGACTGACTGTGTGCGACATGCTACTGACTGACTGACTGTGTGCGACATGCTACTGACTGACTGACTGTGTGCGACATGCTACTGACTGACTGACTGTGTGCGACATGCTACTGACTGACTGACTGACTGTGTGCGACATGCTACTGACTGACTGACTGTGTGCGACATGCTACTGACTGACTGACTGTGTGCGACATGCTACTGACTGACTGACTGTGTGCGACATGCTACTGACTGACTGACTGTGTGCGACATGCTACTGACTGACTGACTGTGTGCGACATGCTACTGACTGACTGACTGTGTGCGACATGCTACTGACTGACTGACTGACTGTGTGCGACATGCTACTGACTGACTGACTGTGTGCGACATGCTACTGACTGACTGACTGTGTGCGACATGCTACTGACTGACTGACTGTGTGCGACATGCTACTGACTGACTGATTGTGTGCGACATGCTACTGACTGTCTGACTGTGTGCAACATGCTACTGACTGACTGTGTGCTAAAGTATTGAAGTGACTAATATTTTTGATTCTACTGAGATCAAAATCAACGTCAGGAAAAATTTCTTTAGGGTATATGAGGAAAGGTTAAATCTTCTTCTGCTTGGCATTCACCAGCTGTAAACTCTGGCGGAAAGTTCTGGTTATTCATCCACTTCTGAACTTTAGTCTTGTTTTGTGTGCACATCCTTAAAATAAGCCAGATTAAGGAGATGTCATGTAAAACCGAAATGCTAGAACAGGACCAAAGTCCAGAAGTGGACAAACAACCAGAACTTTTTGCCAGAGTTTACAGCCAATGAAAACTAAGAAAAAGAAGAAGAAAAGTGTCCATCCATAATATTGAACGCACAGGAGAGAACAGAATGATAGAATAAACTGAAAGCCCAGTGTGATGTTAAGTGACATAACCAGTGGGTGATAATGATGATATTCTTTCTCTTTGTCTTCTCAGTACTGCAGGCTCCAATGACGTGATTGATCTGAAACAGCCCTCGCGTGCGGACACCGAGCCAAGAACAACACCCCAAGGCACTCCTGTCCAGCGTGAGCCTAGTCCCCCACCTCCTTATTCCTCTGGCCCTGGTTCTATGCCGCCTTGCTATGACACTGTGACTAGAACATCTGACAATGGACTTGGCACCGTGACGACACTGGCACCAGATGACGGGGTGTTTGTGAAGAGATGTGATATGTCTCTGGCGTCTTGTAAGTCTTTATGTAGTGTGTCAGTTCTCTTTGTCTTGTCCTCTTCTTGCATGGATCTTTGTAGTTTCTTCACAACTCTTTATCTGGTCTACTTCTTCTTCTTAATCATCATCATCTTCTTCTTTTCCTCCTCTTCCTTCTCTTTTCTTCTTCTTCTTCTTTTTCTTCTTCTTCTTCATCTACTTCTCCTCCCCTTCTTCTTCACTTTTTGTTGCCTCCCTCTTCTTCCTGAAATCATATTTTTTGGATGATTACACTGTTGAGTCAAAAACTGACATCACAGCACTCCAGACATTCTCATAAGTGCAATGTCCCCATCTTCAGAAGCCAGCACATAGTTTGATTATAAATTATCTATCCCTTGCCTGTGAGTGTAGATCTTTAGTTCTGGAGTCTAGCAGTACTGATGAAATAGTGGGCCATATATTTCTAGCTAGATCTTACTCTGCTGTAGTACTAGCTAGATCTTACCCAAAAAGGGCTTTGATGAGTTGCAAGGTACTGTGAGTGAGGAAATTACAGTTTGATCTGCACTTTTCTGTCTTTCCAAAAGATAGTGTTATATTCAGCTCGAAGCCGGTAGCGATGGCAAGTGTGACTAGCAACACCCGCTCATGTTAAGAAAAGTCTTCCACATTTAAAGCATATGATTTCAGGACCATTGTTGCCGCAGTATGTATTTCACATGTATTTCACATGCTTCTCAATCACTCAGCTTTCCACCTGTCTGCGGTAAGTTAACAGGTCACAATTACATACATTATTTTTTTTCACACCCCTGTTTTTTTTTTTTTTTTTTCCAGCCTGCCCTTCCACGACGTCATCTCGACAGTGTCTGACCCCGGAAGATACAACTTCATGCAGGGAGAGGTGCATGCAGGTTCAGCACGAGTGTTTCACCTGGACACTCACCTATCTGGCAGCTCATGTGTATGCTCCGTTCTTGCAGCGCACATTTGTCAAGGTAGGTAGCCTTTCTTGTCTTCTTCTTCTTCTTCTTCTTCTTCTTCTTCTTCTTCTTCTTCTTCTTCTTCTTCTTCTTCTCTTCCACATTGTGCCTCAGCCAAGTGTTGGGGAGAGACGTAACATTCCTTGATAAGCTCTGTCAAGAGCACTGTTGAGACTGATGTTCATTAGCCTTTCTTGTCAAAGTATTATATTCTACATTTGGGTTCTGGGATCTCATTGTGGGGAAAACAAGAACAGACCCACTGCCTTCCCAGTAAGCATGCCATAGGAGGGGTTTAATTGGGAGCTTCCTCTGAGTGCATATGTTTGAAAAGCAAGGAACCAACAATTTGCATACAAGAAAGCCAGATATGTAAAACAGATGTGCACACAACACTCAAGTTCTGGAACAGACTAAATCCCAGAAGTGGATGAACAACCAGAACTTTCTGCCAGAGTTTATAGCTGGTGAACATGGAAAAAAAAAAAAGAAGAAGAAACATTTTGTAGTGCTTTTAACCTCATTTTGGGTATAAATATAGATCCGTAGTTTATATATCTACCCTGCTGTTTACTCCATTTTCACAGGTGTTTACAAAAAGAAATGAATGAACTTGCCTATAAGACTGTCGCTATTCTTTTTTTTTTCTCTTAGCTTCACCAGCTATAAGCTTTAAAGGAAAGTTTTAATTTTTTTTTTTTGGCCAACTGGGGTAACACGGTTAAATAAATACTTCATATGGGAATTTTAACATGTGATCCCGCACCAACAGACAAGCTTGTTAGACACTATGCAGCCTTTGTGTGCAAGTATAGTTGTATACATATACATGTATATGTATGTGTGTAAAGTATATGGTATTTCAAAATATGTCATCTACTTAAAATTTATAATGTATAACATAAAACATTGTTGTATAAATTCAATCTGGCAGGTGACTGTGATGTCGCTGTTCCTGGTGATTATAATTCTGGGAGCATGGGGCACGGCACAAGTGAAGGATGGCCTTGACCTTACAGACGTGGTACCCAGGCAGACACCAGAGTTTGAATTTCTGCAGGCTCAGTCCAAATATTTTGGGTTTTACAGCATTAATTTGGTCACTCAGGTGAGGAAGGGCACGGATGGCTGGATGGATGGATGGATGGATAGTTGAATGGTTGGTCAGCTGGATGGATAAATGACTGGATTCTTTTTCTTAGCAGTCTTCTTCTTTATTCATCTCACTGGTACCAGGTTTAGGTCTAGTGTCGTGGTTTTCTGTATTTGTCTTGTGCTTCTCAGGTGGCTTGGGTGATGGATTTGTTTATATTTGTGCAGGTTTCTGCTACACTGGCTGTAAACTCCAGGGGAAATTTCTGGTTGTTCATATGCTTCTGTACTTTGGTCTTATTCTAGAAATTGAGTTTTACATGTATATATATTTTTTTATAGATCTAGTTTATTTATATGCAGACTGTTGGTCTCTCGCTTGTTTGAAGTGGCATAACAGCTGCACATTCACTCGTGTGCTCATCTACACACACACACACACCACACAGACAGACACACGCACACAGACTTCCTTTCTTAACTGAGGAGTGTGATACCCCACATATGGGATGTGACCCTATTCCTCCATTTTCTCAGATAGGCACACACTATGTATAGATGCCTCTATAATAAAATAATGATAATTGCCTATGCAAAGAGATTGTCAAGCTATTATTTTTATTCATCTGTCGTACACATTTTCTCCTAGGGTGGGTTTGACTACCCCAACAATCAACAGTTGTTGTATCACTACCACAGCGCCTTTCAAAAAGTCCAGAAGATCATCAGACGTGAAGATGGCTCCCTTCCGCCATTTTGGTTGGATCTTTTCAGACAGTGGTTGACAGGTAAGATGAGGATTTTTATGATGAAGAGTTGGTGTCATGGCAATTAGGTTAAGCTAGTAAGTTAACAGTCTTTCCAGTCAGGAGAAGACGGATGTGTAGGGGTATATGTCGTTATGGTTGAAATGTTTTGTTTTTTTGGGGGGGGGGGGGGGGTGTCTAATATATAGTGTGGTTTTTGTGTGTGTTTCTGTGGTTGGAGACTTTATGTCTTTGTGATTGGAGAATATTTTGTAGAATATTTTTCTGTGTGATTGGAGACTTTTTGTCTATGTGGCTGAAAGGTATTTTTTTCTTCTTCAGATTTGCAAAGATCATTTGACAAGGATTTTCAGAAAGGTCTGGTCACTGTTGATGGTTGGAAGCAGAATGCTACTGAAGAAACCGTCCTGGCATACAAGCTGCTGGTGCAGACGGGAGATGTGGATAATCCAATCAACAAGGAACAGGTAAAGATCTCTTTTAAATCTCTCTGTGTGTCTGTCGAAATGTTGTTTTGTGCACGTTTTTTTGCTTCCCCGTTTCGTTAAGCTTTTTAGTCACATTTCACTGGAATTTCTCTACTCCAGCTTATCCTTAACAAAAACCTATGCTAGGTAAAATAATGACCTAATAAGTGAAACATGGCGGTAAAGTCTGTTGAAACATGTGTGGGTTCTGTCTGGGATGTCAAGATAGGAGACATTTTTATCAACTCTTTATCAGAGGGAGTACTGGCCCACTAAGTCACCATTGTACTCAAAGTTGTGTGGAACTAAAAGGAAAACCCTAAAATCTGTCAACTTGTCTGTGGGTGTAAATCCGAAAACAAACAGGAAGAAGAAGAAACTCTTCATGGAAATTAAAAGTATTATTGGGGAGGGGGGGGGGGTGTTTGCAGGGATGTTGATTGTGATAACATAACATTTTATGGCATTATCAGGAATCGTATGATTATGTATACTTCTGCAGATCACCCGTATTCGCCTGGTGGATGACAGAAACAACATCAATCCTCCAGCCTTCTACAATTACCTGACAGCATGGATCACAAACGATGCCATGGCTTACTCATCTTCAATGGCAAATCTCCACCCGCTGCCCAAATATTGGCTGCATGATCCGACCGATGAGAACACAGAGAGTGAGTTAGTCAAAGCTTGTGTCGTAGATTAGACTTTTTCTTCCTTTCTTCTTCGCGTTCACTGGCTGTAGACTTCAGCAGAAAGTTCTGGCTGTTCATCCACCTCAATATTTTAGTCTTGTTCCAGAACCTGAGTGTTGTATGCACATCAGTTTTACAGATCTTTCTTATTGTATGCATACTGCTGGTTCCTTGCCTTCAGGCAGATGCAATCTGACTTCAAAAGAATCCCACCCCCCCCCCCTTCCCCAGTTAGTCAACTTGTATGACATGCTTGCTGGGGAGGCCGTGGGTCTATTCTTATTTGTCCCACAATGGGGCCTGGAACCCACAAGGGGAGGGCAAATTTATGGTAGATAATTCTGTAGCCACATGAAGGGGAGGAGATGTCTGCTTCAGGTTGAAAGGTCACTTCTTGACCTAGTTGTCAGTCAGCACACAGCTGGACATGTTTCTTTTTTCGTGATAGACATATGGTGCTAGCTCTGTATTTCTGCAGATTAGTCATTACTAACTCAATGTTGTGATCAGTGCCAGGTTGGCCACCTTGACTTCCATAGATATTTTCTGGTACTCACTCAGGCGATGTCAATAAAGGAGACCATACCAGTTTTTTTAAAGCTGTCTTTATAGCGTCGTGAATATGTTACCACAAGTGATGCTGTTCGTACGTGACGCGAATAAAAGGGGACAGAAAAGATAGATATAGGTTACAAAAAATTTTGAATATTTATTCCTGCTGAATGGAGAACCAATATTATATGAATGAGGCAATTTTTCGAAGTTACACACACTGCGGCAACATTTTAAGACAAGGACATAGATTTTTAGCTTTACCCGGTTCAAGCCGGTAATCAGTTGCCCTGAGAACATACCATTAATCAGTTGACCTGAGAACATGCCATTAATTAGTTGCCCTAAGAATATACAAGTAATCAGTTGACCTGAGAACATACCAGTAATCAGTTGCCCTGAGAACATACCAGTAATCAGTTGACCTGAGAACATACCAGTAATCAGTTGACCTGAGAACATACCAGTAATCAGTTGCCTCTTTAACTTCTCATGAGCCGTTACATAAATCAGCCATTCCGTGAATCCACAAGATCATTATTGCTAATTATCTACTGGTTTAAACTGTTATGAACATACCATTCCCTGTGTGAAATAGACCCGCTGCCTCCCTAACCAGCATGCTGTAGGAGGCGACCAATCAGGGATGTTTCCTTGACATGTTGTAGGAGGCGACCAATCAGGGCTGTTTCCTTGACAAGTAGGAGGCGACCAATCAGGGATGTTTCCTTGACATGTAGGAGGCGACCAATCAGGGCTGTTTCCTTGACAAGTAGGAGGCGACCAATCAGGGATGTTTCCCTGACATGTAGGAGGCGACCAATCAGGGCTGTTTCCTTGACAAGTAGGAGGCGACCAATCAGGGATGTTTCCTTGACATGTTATATGAGGCGACCAATCAGGGGTGTTTCCTTGACATGTTGTAGGAGGCGACCAATCAGGGCTGTTTCCTTGACAAGTAGGAGGCGACCAATCAGGGATGTTTCCTTGACATGTAGGAGGCGACCAATCAGGGCTGTTTCCTTGACAAGTAGGAGGCGACCAATCAGGGCTGTTTCCTTGACAAGTAGGAGGCGACCAATCAGGGATGTTTCCTTGACATGTTATAGAAGGCGACCAATCAGGGCTGTTTCCTTGACATGTTGTAGGAGGCGACCAATCAGGGCTGTTTCCTTGACATGTAGGAGGTGACCAATCAGGGCTGTTTCCTTGACATGTAGGAGGTGACCAATCAGGGATGTTTCCTTGACATGTAGGAGGCGACCAATCAGGGCTGTTTCCTTGACATGTTGTAGGAGGCAGAGGCAACCAATCAGGGCTGTTTCCTTGACATGTTGTAGGGGGTGACCAATCAGGGCTGTTTCCTTGACATGTTGTAGGGGGTGACCAATCAGGGCTGTTTCCTTGACATGTTATAGGAGACGACCAATCAGGGCTGTTTCCTTGACATGTTGTAGGGGGTGACCAATCAGGGCTGTTTCCTTGACATGTTGTAGGAGGCAACCAATCAGGGCTGTTTCCTTGACATGTTGTAGGGGGTGACCAATCTGCCTAAGAGGCACTACAACAAACATAAGCCAGATCTGGAAAATGCAGGCGCATGCAATACTTAAGTTCTGGATCAAGACCAACAACAGAACTTTCCACCGGAGTTTATAGCCGGTGAGCTATAAGAAGGAGAGGAAAAACATAGTATAAACAGTTGACCACCACTAACCATGTAATTAATCATTACGTTTAATTTCAGTTCACAAGGCTCAACATTTAGTCTTTGCACAGATACCATTCTACCTGTCTAACATCTCAGGTACTGAGGAAATTATTGATATGATAAAGGTAAGTTTTTTTATGCAATTTAAAGTTTGTTTCTTGCATGTTTTTCTTTTTTTTTTAAATTAATCAGAAATCCAGCACATGCATCATTTTCTTTCTTCTTTTTTCTCTTCTTCCCCTGTGAAGCATATGCCCTCAGACAACGTGTGTCAAGTTGTCTGATCTTATACTATTACATGCTGCTCATCCCGTGTCCCCTATCTTTTTTACTTCACTCTCTAGCTCCCATCTCTGTATTTTTTGGAGTCTGCCTTTTTCTTTTGACCTAGTGGGTTCCATTACAAAGACATTCTTTTTTTTTCTTTGTCAGCCAGTTTTATTTATTTATGTTTTTATTTTCTTTAAAGTATAGACTGTAATATTTGTTTTTAACATCAATGTTTTATTGCAAGGTTAATACAGTGCAGGAGACTGAGTTGTTAAACAACAAACCTTTCTGTCGTTATCTTATCAGGCGTAATGGCAATATAAATCTTACCCCATATTTTCAGATGAACTGGATGGAACTCAGCGAATGATGAGGTCGGTATCATGCCGGCCACTTTTACTTCCCCAAAAATTTCTAGGTGGGTTTTGGGCTGTGTCAGCTTAGAGTCAAGGTCACCGAGAAAAGCCTCATTTTGAGGAGAAATTCAAACTCATGGCTAAAGGTGTTGTTCGTCCATCACAAGTGATGGCGACCACTTTCATCCAAAGTAGAAATGATCAATGATTATGAGTGATGATGATAGCTGGATGAAAGTAACTTGCGCTAGGACTTAGATTTGAAAGTGAGGAAGAGTTGCGCTATTCGTCGACCTCTCTCTCTCGCCTGTGTCCATCTTGATCCAATGGCAGAACAATATCAAGATGATTGGAAATGGGCCTAGAGGCAAATTGATGACCAAGGCATCCTAAGTGGCTAAGGGGCAGAACGCTAGCAGCTGTGCCATCTCAGCTTCCATACTATTAATTTAAAATGTCCATAAGACAGCTACATGAGAAACATAATATGTTGGTCAGAAATATTGACTTGTTAGACTTCAATTTGTTCCAGGAAATCAGGGAAATATGTGATGAGTTTTCCGAGGAAGGACTGCCTAACTTTCCCACCGGGGTCCCCTTCACATTTTATGAGCAGTACATCAACCTCCGCTTCTACCTGACCTTGTCCATTGTCTGTGTGCTGGCGGTGACCTTTGTGGTCCTCACTGTTGTCTTGATGAACCCCTGGATTGCTTTTCTTGTGGTAAGTTGAGGGTGAAGGTGTACGTACGTGCTCATGAGTCAGTGAATGAGAGAGAGAGAGAGAAAGAGTGGAGAGAGAGAGAGAGAGAATGAATATATGAATCTGGGATTTTGTCAGTATTGTGGTTAAGTTAGTAAGTTTATATAAGAAAAGAAAATTGCATGTGAAAAAAGTTTGGGCTTTTGTCAACTCTTTGAGTCCCAGGAAACGCATCATACATTCATAGTTACTGCCTAGACGCCCAATAAACGCATAATGGGCCGATTGTACGTCTCTCTTGACTCCCCCTTGGGCCTGTGATGCTAAATCCTCTGGGACTGAAAGAGTTAATTTAAAGGGATAAGCTTATAATAAAAATGTGCTTCATGTGTGAGAAAGTTAGGATTTTGTTTATGTCAAGAGTTGATGATATTCTTTTTGTAAAGTGATTATTTTTGTTGAAGATATGGAGAGTTTGAGATTAGCTTATGCTGAATTGGGACTCTGCTCTTGCTGCTGTAGATGGGGGTGGAGCACTTATGGGAATGAATGCCCTGAATGCTGTGATGTTGATTCTCAATTCAATTCTCTGGGGCTGAGAAATAACATTCCTAACTAGAGATACATTTGATGTTGCTCCACAGGTGTTTGTACTGACGATGATCATCGTTGAGCTGTTTGGCTTCATGGGAATGATGGGTATTAAACTGAGTGCGGTTCCTGCGGTCATCCTCATCATGTCTGCGGGAATTGGTGTGGAGTTTACACTTCATGTTGCTGTGGTAAGTTCCACTGCATTCTGCTGCACATGACCTTTTAGGCAATAGTATCATAGCTGTTAAACAAATTAGTGTTACCTTCCCTTTGGAGTAAACAGTGACACTCATTGTGGAAATGGAAAGGAGGATTGAATTTTACAAACATACAACTATCGAATAGGTCAGTGATAAAATAAACAACTTTGCAGGACATCATAAGCCTCTCTTGGCAGTGGGGAAATGTTGCAATGCGAGCTTATAGACTGAAATGGTTGGGTCATATTGAAAAAATGTCAGATGAAAGAGAAGTAAAAACTGTATATACAAGAGAGATGAATGGTCGTAGACCACGAGGCAGACCAAGAAGACAGTGGAGAGATAATGTCCAGACAGACCTGCAAACATTTGTGTCACCAACGGGAAAGAGAAGGCCAGCCAGAGAGATGAGTGAAGGTGGGTGATATCTGCAGCAATGAACCTCAAGGGCTCGGAATGCTGAAAAAGAAAAAGAAGAAGAAATGTTTTAAGCTAGTTTGGGTCTGGCATATGGAAAGACATGTTTCGATTGCAAAGACTGTACTTCAAGGAACACTGGAGGGTAGTCGAAGAAGAGTTTGGGGGTGGGTGGGGTGGGCGTGGTTAAGAGAGAATCTGCAAAGAGGACATGTCCTAAAATAGACATGATGAATTGTTTTACACTTGTTCAACAAATAGAAGGTAGATGAAGATGAGTTTTATGTGCTAGTGCTTCCATTGATGCATCGCCATGACTGTAACGGGTTAAAGGTTATGTTATGTCATATTATAATGTTATGTTATAAACAAGGCAGGCTGAAAGAGGGATCATGTTGCACGGGAAACAAAGGGTCTCTAAATACTGCCCAGCCTATGGAATGTCTATAGGCTGTGTTCTTCTTAGAAAGAAAGTTCTGGGTTATTTTTTTCTCTCCACTTTTTGACTATGTCCTGTTCCAGAACTTGAGTTGTGCTTGCATGTCCATTTAACAGATCTGGCTTATTTTTATGCAGACTATTGGTTCCTTGCCTCTCAGGCAGATATGGTCTGATTTTGAAGAAATGTCCTAGATGCCTTGTATGACTTACTTGTTGGGAGGAGGGAGGGTAGCCTATCTCCCCCCCCCCCCAACCTGGTCCCATACTGGACTCGCGTGACACTTCCGAGAAATCACTTGGTCATTATAGCATAATAAAGTATTGCTTCCTAACTCTGCTTAGTCATTACAACATCGTAAAGTAATCATTCATTACTTTATTATAAATCAGTAACTCATTACAGGCAGCATTGTACAGCAGTCATATATTGCTTCACTATAAAGTAGTTATTAACTCATTGGCATCATTATAAAATAATTATTCACTATGTCACTACAAAGTAGTTGTTCAATCATTACAGCATCATAAATTAATCTTCCACTATTCTGGTATAAAATTGCTGCAACTATATCAGTTATCACTGTCACATATTGTGCATGTGAAAGAATAGCCTCATGAAATAGACAGTTAGCAAAAGTAGTGTTTGTTTTGTCTCCAGGGATTTATTACGGCTATTGGCAGTCGGGATCGGAGGATGGCTATGGCCTTGGAGCACACCTGTGCGCCTGTTATACATGGTGCTGTTTCCACTTTCTTGGGCATTCTCATGTTGGTGGGCACGGATTTTGAGTTCATTGTCAAGTAGGTTCACAGTGTTCTGTGTTTGTTGTGGCTATCTGTGTTGGTTAGGACTTTTTATGTTTGTTGGGACTGTTATGTTTGCTAAGACTGTCCGTGTTTGTTGGGAACTGTCTGTGTTTATTGACACTGTTTGTTTTTGTTGGCACTGTTTGTGTTTGTTGAGATGGGACTGTCTGAAACTGTCTGCATTTGTTGGGACTATCTGTGTCTGTTGAGACTGTCTGTGTTTGTTGGGACCATCTATGTTTGTTGGGGCAGTCTGTGTTTGTTGGGACTGTCTGTGTTTGTAGCATGTTCCTCTTCCTTACTGTAGGATTAACACATCAAGACAGGTCAGTTACAAAAACTGAACAGAGAAATGAAATGGCCATTACTGTAGAACTTTGTCTATCACAAACAATGCTCCAGCCACAAATATAAGATATTTGTATCTACATTTGCTTTTGTTTTGTGTTTTGCCACAAAAGATTTACTATGGGTTGGTAGGCCATAGGGGGTTAAAAAGTTGAGAAACACTGATCTGTCTATTCAACTCTTAATCTGTTGTCTCCTGCATGTGTGAATACCAATCAGTATATTAAAATTCTTTTGTCATACTAAAATAAAAGCTGCTCATTTGGTAGAGATCCATGTGTGGGTCTCGGGTCCCATGGAAGGTGGGGGGGGGGGGGATGATCTGCTGCCACTTAACAAGACAAGCATGTCGGAAAAGATGTTTTTTTTTTTTAATAGGATGTGCTGGGCAAAAATTTTTTAGATATCACAGTCTAGCTGTAAACATAAACATACCATGCCAACCGCTCTTCTAAGCAGGAAGGCAAAAGAAGAAGAATGTAATGAGAAAACAGCAAGACATCTTCAGATAGCATGCAAGTGTCAAAGATAGAAATCTAGACACAGGGGTTTTATAGAATGGGGGTTTCTTTCTCTCCCAACCATGAATGGAAATCTTCAGTGTAGTTTTTCTGGTCAAACGTTAGCCCATGGTATAGAGAGCCTTGTCAAGCCACATTGTGTGAACCGTGTACTCGTCTCAAAGTTCATGAAAACACCACTGCTAGCGCGGAGTTCTTTTATCTTCCTTCCTACCTGCCCTGTCCTTTTGTGTCCGGGCGTTGTCTGTTTGCCCTAGCCAGCTTGAATATCTTATTCAGTGATCCTAGTTTGGGTGGTCTGGTGTCTAAAGATGTGGGTGTTGGCAGAAGGACGTGAGGCATCTCAAAGCTCATTTACTGGTGGCCTTTGTTAGCCTGGGATGGCAGCTGGGAATGGGGCGGATGAAGAGAATGGGGCGATGTTATTACAGGCTAAAACAAATATTCCTCCACACAATTACCGTTGCGGTGACTGTTAGGTATACTACCTTCATTACTGCCATGTTATACATTGGTCTCTTTTTTACTACTGATATTTCGGGTTTTAATTACTCTTGCTGTTACTTCTACTGCTGCTGATGATGTTGTTGCTTGTGATGATGTTACCACTGCTGCTGCTGCTGCTACTACAGTACTACTAATTCTTCTTGCTTTTACTACTACTGCTGCTGCTGTTGACGATTCTTACCACTACTACTGCTTGTGCTGTGATGATGTTACCACTACTATACTGCCGAGTACTACTAAGTTATTGATCTGGTTGCTTGTGCTGTTACTGCTACTGATGTTGTTGCTGATGTGATGTTACCACTGCTTGTGCTGATGTTGTAGCTGTTACCACTAACTACTACTGCTGCTACTACATTACTACTACTACTACTACTGCTGCTGATGTTGTTGCTTGTGATGATGCTACCACTACTACTGCTGCTGCTACTACAGTACTACTAATTCTTCTTAGCGTTCACCGGCTGTAAACTCTGGTGAAAAGTTCTGATTTTGCTCCAGAACTTCAATTTTGCGTGCATATCCGTTTTACAGACCTGGTTTATTTATATTAAGGTTCTTAGTTCTTGACCTCTGAAGCAACTGCACTTTGGCTTTAAAGGAATTACCCCTAACTATTCCCCTGTAGGTCATGCTTGCTAGGGATTTGGTTTGACTGATTTCTGTCGGAGGTGCCTTTGCCAACAGCCGTGGGTCTATTGTCCCTCCAAAATGTCGTTAATTTTTAGTAAAATAAATCAAAAAGAATTGTCTGAGAAATCACAAAATACCTCTTAAAGGCTGCATTAAAAGAAAATTATGTGCTTTCATAATATCCTACCCCAAACAGGGGAAATCCACAGATCACGGGACAGTTTAATATATCAGGGGGTGGTAGATAGGCTGCATACAGTCGTGGGACCTAGGCTGCATGCAGTCATGGGACCTAGGCTGCACTCTCTCGTAGGGGAGTTGGGTTTAGGGCCAATTCTATATGTTTTAGTGTGGTTAAAAGCATCAGAAAGCCGGAAAAACCCAGTCTTACCACCCTCTAAAATGTTGGACTGTCATGTGATCTGGGGATAGAATATTACGAAAGAACCAAAAATTACATTTGTAAACAAATGACCCCCCCGCCCCCGAAAAAAAAGATGAATCCCCTACGGATTGTGAGGCCCCACATTACAGCATACTTAGCTCATGCCAAAATCTAGATTTGACTGCTACATATTCTCTGTGACATCCTACCAGACACTGTACTTCCTTTCTCGCTCACAACCACTACGCTGTTGGTTCCTTTCTTTATCCCCTCATTCAAACTCTTTATTGCAGCCTTACCCCTAGCTCTTTATTGCAGCCTTACCCCTAGCTCTTTATTGCAGCCTTACCCCTAGCTCTTTATTGCAGCCTTACCCCTAGCTCTTTATTGCAGCCTTACCACTAGCTCTTTATTGTAGCCTTACCCCTAGCTCTTTATTGCAGCCTTACCGCTAGCTCTTTATTGTAGCCTTACCCCTAGCTCTTTATTGCAGCCTTACCCCTAGCTCTTTATTGCAGCCTTACCGCTAGCTCTTTATTGCAGCATCACCCCTAGCTCTTTATTGCAGCCTTATCCCTAGCTCTTTATGGCTGCCTTACCCCTAGCTCTTTATTGTAGCCTTACCCCTAGCTCTTTATTGTAGCCTTACCCCTAGCTCTTTATTGTAGCCTTACCCCTAGCTCTTTATTGTAGCCTTACCCCTAGCTCTTTATTGTAGCCTTACCCCTAGCTCTTTATTGCAGCATCACCCCTAGCTCTTTATTGTAGCCTTACCCTACCTTTACTGTAGCCCTTACCCCTCTCTTTATTGCAGCCTCACCCCTAGCTCTTTATTGCAGCATCACCCCTAGCTCTTTATTGTAGCCTTACCCCTAGCTCTTTATTGCAGCCTCACCCCTAGCTCTTTATTGTAGCCTTACCCCTAGCTCTTTATTGTAGCCTTACCCCTAGCTCTTTATTGCAGCATCACCCCTAGCTCTTTATTGCAGCATCACCCCTAGCTCTTTATTGTAGCCTTACCCCTAGCTCTTTATTGTAGCCTTACCCCTACTCTTTATTTGTACCTTACCCCTAGCTCTTATTTAGCCGTACCCCTAGCTCTTTATTGCAGCATCACCCCTAGCTCTTTATTGTAGCCTTACCCCTAGCTCTTTATTGTAGCCTTACCCCTAGCTCTTTATTGCAGCCTCACCCCTAGCTCTTTATTGCAGCATCACCCCTAGCTCTTTATTGTAGCCTTACCTCTAGCTCTTTATTGTAGCCTTACCCCTAGCTCTTTATTGTAGCCTCACCCCTGGCTCTTTATTGTAGCATCACCCCTGACTCTTTATTGTAGCATCACCCCTGGCTCTTTATTGTAGCATCACCCCTGGCTCTTTATTGTAGAACCACCCCTGGCTCTTTATTGTAGAATCACCCCTGGCTCTTTATTGTAGAACCACCCCTGGCTCTTTATTGTAGAACCACCCCTGGCTCTGTATTGCAGTCTCATGCGGTCTCCCGAGAGCAGATACTAACAGAAGTAATATTATCACAGGTGGCAATCAGAGACCCAGTGAGGGCAGACGGGCTTGGATGGCGCTCTTTTTATTGGCGGCAGGCAGTAAATGCCAACAGGGAGCCTCTGGCACATGTGCCTCTTTAAACGTCGTTCCCTCCGCGCGCGTGTGTGTGTTTGTATGTGTGCGAGAAGGTACCAGGCAGGGCTGTTTACACTTTTTTGGGAATAGTACCAAAAGGGGTGGTGGGGGGGGGGGGAGGTAAAAAGGTACCAATACACACAAAAAGGTTTCAAATTTTTAATTAGTAATTTAAAACTGATCTATTTAAAACACATATTTAAAAATGGCTTACCTTATATTTGATAACTGAAATTTTTTGTCTATTTACTGACAACAAACCATGAAGAAGTTGTCAATGGATATAATCATTCCCTTGTGGGATGCAATTTTTCGTTATTTTGAAGCCCCACCCTGACTCTTGCCAGAAGCCGCAATATAGCCCGACCATAAATATGGCCTAATGGCTAAACGCGGTTTCCGGGACCTCTCCACGGGTGATCCTCGTGCGCATGGTGGCACTTTGTGTTATCGGGTGTTTATCGCTTGTGTGATGTCCTAGTGGGGTAAAATTTACTACTACTAAACCATGAAAAATATTTTTTTTTTAAACCTGTATGAAAACTTTAATTATGCTTTTATTTTATAGCTTTCCACGCTTGCTCATACTGGCTACTTAAACAGCAATTTAAAAACATAGACAGGAACAATTATAAATGTCACACAATACTTCGAAGTAAAGTTTAATCTTAGAAGCTTGAGCATCAGCTAATTGGACTGTTAATCTGTGACAAAAGACATGAGAGAGAGAGAGCCGTCTGCAGATTGTCTGGATAGGCATTCCTACACTGGCCTTGGCCAATCAAGTCAAATGATACATTTGCATAAGGTTCATTTTTAGTGCGCTCCCAATCCCCCCCCCCCCCTTTTTTTTTTAAATTTTCAACACAATACCAACACTTTTAAAAAAAAATTGATGCACAGTTTTTAACACGTAATGGTTAGTAACCCCGTTGCCAATGTGGGACGCATTTTGTTTTT